AAGAAATAAAACTAGATGGTATTTGAAGTTTACTCAACTATGAAATGCGGTTGAGACGATGAAAGTCATTACTACGAAAACTTTATCAGTATACTCATCAACATTATGTTGAAAGAACGCTATCGGTTGATCGTTGAATCAACTCTCTCATATAAATACGAAGAACACAAATTCGTCATTTTGTGATACTTTTATCTAGTTGGTTTTATACAATTCGAGTTTTTCTAAGCTGTCCAGATTGAAAAATATATATCAAATAAACTAATGGACTCAAGAACACTCATAAAAATAAAATTTTTGATTAAGTTCACAATTGTGAATAACTTACGTAAATATAGTTTCCAACGTGATTTTTTAGTAGAAAAAACAGAAACATGATTTGAATCATTTTTTGCCCATTGCCGAAGAACTTTCAAAGTGCCATCTTGAGAATCTGATTCACCTAAATAAATTTTATAATTTCCAAATAAATTTCCAATAGCACGAATATTATTTTGAAAAGGAATTAGATATTTTTCAACATTTCGACAGCACGCTGTTATAACTAATGTCAAATTTGTTAAATTAACTTTATCAATTGTTATTATTGGTGAAGGAAGTAGTTCACTTCTTGACAATGTTCGATTATCTTCCCAAAATGCTTTAGATGTTAATGGAGATACTTTAAGAAGTTGACTATATCGGTGAACTATCGCAACGATGATCATAACAAATATCATTATTGAAATAATGCAACAAATCATTCCAAGTTTCATCCAATAATTTCGTCGAGAGACTTTCATTGTTATATTATTATCTTATTTACTTTAACAATCAATCTTCACATCTACAATCAAATACTATATTACTACAAATCATCTAAAGTATGGATGTGCATGTGAAGATATATCACCCACACTCACATCTATACCCTCAAATAATAATAAATATTGATCAAAGCAGAAGAAGAATAAATTATTCGCTTTCTCGTAGACAAGAGTCTAGCAAGTATAAACTGTTTTCGTGTTGGTGATGATGACAACCGAAGACAATCTAGCCTTTCAATGTCAGTTCTCACTGAATGTGAAGGGATAAGGTTTCTACACGAAAGAGCCAAGCGAATAAAAATGCGAGCGTTATCTATTCGATGCGTTTGTGTCTTATTTCACCGAGTGATCGTTAGTGTAACGAACACATGTTTTACCTTAAGGAGAAAAAGCAATTAACGAACTGAATAGGCCCATAGGCAACGTGCTGTATCGTCGTACATATCATGAATCTTATCAAATATTAAAGTATTGAAATAAACATTACGAGTGTGCCGTTTTTTTTTCTTTCCTTTACTTCAACGATTTATTGATGTATATACGTCCTCTTTCTTTTACATTAAACAAGAAATAGGTAAGTTATTACACAGAGAAGATCGGACGTCTTTTTTTTTTATTTTACACTCGAACGACCGATCATATATCTTACAGAGGTGGGATCGGTTCGGTTCGGTTCGAAAGAATTTATACCGCTTAATATTTATTTTAGTTCATTGGTTTTCTTTTTTAGCAAAAAATGACAGAAAATCCTGCTAGAAAGTGAAATCATATCATAATCAGATGTCACTCGTAAATGATATGGCTTAACTATTTTCTGATTGAATTAAAATATGAGTAAATTCTAAGGCGCGCGAACAATAAATAAATGAATAATCTACTTCGTTTTTACTTTTACTGTCTTTATAAATTTATTATATACTGATGTTTGGGTGTGGATAATTGTTGAGTCGGAAATTGCTTGGTTTATAAATCGTCAATTTTTGAATCGAAAATTTAAAAGATTTATAAATATTTTAAGCATTTATAAAACCGGTCTATTTATAAATCAGTTTATGATTTATAAACCTCATATCAATTTATAAATCGAGTTGACTTCAATACTCGTATAGACAACATGAAAATAAAACTGATATCCTAACTAAATTTACAGTGGAAAACTCTTGAAAATTTTTTGTTATATAGACTTTACAATGTTAAGGTTAGATTCTCAATCCCTGATGGGCAATTTGTGTATACTGTATTATTTATAAATCTGAAACTGATTTATAAATCGGGTGAATTTATAAACATCTGTAAATATTCATAAATTTTTGGCAATTTCTGTTAAATATAAATTTTTGATAAAATCACTTCGGACTCGACAGTGGTGTATGGTGGTGAGTGTAGGTGACGATGAAGTGAATACCTACATGCATCCACACCCATCCTCGAGAAAAGCTAACATCTTGATCGACTTTCCATAAACTTCACTTCTTTTAAGCTCGGTTCGGTTCGGGTTGGCAATTTTTCAGTCGAATTCGATTCGGTTCTTAAAAAAACGAACCGATCCCACCTCATCTAGTATCGACTGTAGAGAACACTTTGAGAATGTGGGTGTAAGTTTCATGTCTAATCCACACCCTCATGCTGCAGCAGTACCTTTTATGGTCTGTATCTACGTATTCCTTGTCGATATCAATGATTATGTAACGTAAAATGCACTGGTTTTGTTTTTACGGCTGTATCAAACTTGTAACAATAAATAGACGTTCGATCTATAGCATTATATTTTATTAATTAATTAAAACGGCTCAACTATGTTACTTTTTAAAGGTCTTCTTCTTGATTCCTCTACCATCCGCTTCTATCACAAAAAACGTCGTCTTACATAGACGAGCAAGAATAAGAAGTCAAAAAAACATCCTTGACTAAAAAAAGGAGTGAAGGCTTATCATAGACAAGCTCAATGTAGTTTCATCGAAAGAAGAATGAGAACGACAAATGATTAAGGACAATCGAGCATATGATAAGTATGTCCTTTATCTGCTCATTGGTGGTGGATAAGAATAAATCGGGGAATGCGAATTTTGCAGTACAGACTTTCGCAAGTGACTTTTGGCAATTGCCAAAAGTTGTGTTTTCGCTGGATTTTCGGCAAAATCAAAACTGAACTTTAGGCAATAGGCCAATAGTCCAGTTTCGTTACGGCGAAAATCCAAAAAAAACAGAAC